GATATTTCTGTTTACTTTAGAAGTTATTATGCTGTGTATCTGGGAAACATTAAAGACATTCTGCAGATTTGGTCTCTTTATTGAAATAGTAAACAGTAAGTATACATGTTAACAATATATAGAATTAATGGTATTTTTTATTACGTAAATATAAAGAATCGGATACTTCACAGAAACAAATTATTATAATTTCTGAGTAAAAGAAAGATCATATATGATGCTAAACTTGATTAAATCAAACAATGTCATGTTTACTTGTGGACAATAGCACTTTAATATTGAATGATCTTTTAATAAATGTAAATATGTGATATCAGATACTTAGTTGAAGAAGAAAAAAAAAGTTACATATCATACTGGATTAGGTAAGAGAAACCACCTGAAGGATAACCTACATCTTGACTTTTAGACTGAAATATCTTTAAAACATTAAATGTGCAAAAATAAAATGAATCAGATGATTATATATTGACAGAAACTCTAAATTCTAACTTACTAGAAAATGGTCACACATGCTTCACTTGATTACATCAAACTTTTTGTCATGTTTACCTCTTGATATGCTAAATATGAACTAAATTATCTTTTCATTGATTTAAAAATGTGAATACCTGGCATTTCATACATCTCAGAAATGAAAACAGATATAATACATTTTGAGTAAATAGTCAAACATGAACATTACAATTACTGTTAAAAATGTAAGAATTTAGTTTTCATATTTTCAATTAAGTTAAAAGAAGTTTAATTCCATATATGACATTGTCAATGTATTCTGCTTTCCTATAGTATTGTTTTACTCACTTTTGTTAAAATTGAACATCATTTATATAATCTTCATTTGTTTAATTTAGATTTATTCATTTTCTATCAAAAGACAAGTGTCTGCATAGATCCTGCAGTAATTCTTAACACTACTGTCAAAATGAAACTGAAAGTCGATTAATCGGTTAACAGAACGTTGTTGTTTAGCTACAAATGCCAAACATTTCCAGCTTGTCATTTTACCAAGTTTTAAAAGCCATGCAAATGTTTTAAAACAGCAATCACACAATTGGCACTTAAAACAATGAATAAGATGGCATTGTCTTTACATAACCCAAAATAAGCTTCTAAAAATATAGTTGTCGACTAAAGCACTTTTTTTTTCATATGTTGCTTACTTAGATCCCATTACACTAATAAGCTGTGTGCGTGTGCAAGTGATAGAAAGAGCAAATGGTTCCCCTTTTTAATTAAATATCAATGTGAAATAGGTATAGTTTTACTTTGGTAGGCTACTTAATTTAACCTGGAAATGTGTAATCATCATTGTCTGATTAAAGAGTCTGTGTTTCTTAATTCTGAGAAAAGGAAAGAAAACACCTTTGTGCATGAAGCCCTTTGAGGTGGGTTTTATGAAGTTTTTTTATATCATTTATTGTAGCCTAAGCAAGTTCCTCATTTCCAAGAAACCACATGATCAATTTACTGTCTAAAGCTGTTGTCAGTTTGGTGTGTCAGGGCCTTAAGGGTCTATTGAAGGAGAAAACACTGAGGCAGTACAACATTATTACTCTTCAGTGTACCTTCATCATCATTCTTTAACATCTACTGTATTGATTTATCAGATCTTAAAGCCTGATAGCAGTATTATAAAGAACAGAGTGGTAACACCCTGATGAACCATCTTTTGTCTGCAGACGTTGTAGGATACAGGATGAATCCGTGTATCTACCGTCCAATTGTTTTTTCTTTATTAAACACGTAAACGGAAGAGCGTCTGAGGGGCCTTTTTGCTTTTTACCTTACTAAATGGTCTAATGGTCATTGGAGCGAGGGGCTGGGCGAAACTCACGGAAGTGATTTCAAAACAAAAGCACTCGTTTGCTAAAATCACACTTTGAATCACTACTGTATCCTGTTGAAGGAACGGTGATTATCACAACGAAAACGGACAAGACACATTTTGAGCCCAGAAAATGGATGTTATTAAGGGCTGTAAATATAATAAGCCTCTGTCTAAAATGGACAACATTGTTAGGAGATTTAAACTATACAGCGATTCTGCACTGCGGTCAACTCAGCCGTCTCTCTCGTTTATTTTTTCAAATCAGCTGCTCTTCATTATTCCTGCTATATTTGACTAGTGATACAAATATTGTTTACCACAAGTTCTTAAGGAAACTGACACTCTTGGACTCGGTTCTAGTTTGACTTCTACCAGAAATAAAATGAAGTACTTTTACTGTGTACTTTGTGGGTAATCCTCTGTCAAAGTCCCCTCCATAGTACATAATGCATGTTTTCTGCTATCTTTGATGAGTGATAAAAATATAATTTTACCATTAGTTCTTAATGAAATTGATACTGTTTGACTTTGTATTAGTTAGCCTACTACTAACAATACATTGAAGTACTTTTACTATGTATCTTTTGAGACATACTCAAGCCACTTCTGCTAAGTTTGATGAGGGAATTCTTTTTTGTTGCCATTAGTTCTTCGTGAGATTGATCCTGTTGGACTCGGTACTAGTGAAACTACCCCCACAAGTACTATGAAGTACTTACTGTGTACCAGCGACGTGCAGTCAGTGGAGGCAGGGGAGGCAGAGCCTCACCTGTCATACTCCAATGTAACGGAAAAACAACTAATGAAAAACAAAATAGTAATAATAATAAAATGTCTCCACTGATCTGTGTTGTAAGTGTGATTTATGTATGATTCTAATCGCTTTTTATAGTCAAAATCAGCAAATTTGCCGAGCTCCGCTACGGGAGCGATGACAAGTGAGGCAGGGGCGTGCTCTGCCTCTCGTAAGCCCACAGTAACTTGCTGGAGCGCGGGCACTAATGTAGCGCGGGCACTTATTTTGTGAGCGCGCTCAAGCCATTTACTGTGGGCTGAGGTGAGGCACAGATGAGCTTTGCCTCAATTCAGAATGCGTCACCCCACAGAAACTGGCTGGAAAGCGGGCCCTAAGCGCATGCCTGTCACCATCTCACTGTAGGTCACCAATGTAATGTATGTAGATCCCTTTATTACATTTATCCTCGCCATCCATAGTCTCTAAATAACTTATTTCACGTATATATGATATTTAGGCTCGCTGGTCTCAACGGCAATGAAAATGCACCAGGGGAGGCAGCCATAACCTCTGCCGCACTGAAGGGGGCGCACGTGAGCCCACAGGTTCTTGTTGCTACTGTAATTCTACGCAGAGACGGTAGACGCAAACAACAAACTAGACTTTTGAAACTACAGGAAGATAAGGAGGACTTTTACAAAAAAGTAATAGAGATTGTTGTCCAGAAGGATAGCATGGACTTCAAGTCAAGGTAAGACCACATTTGTAATGAAAATGGGATCTTACTAAGAAAGAACAATCCAATATTTAGATTTTGGGTATCCTTTTGTTGAACGGTCTGTTTAAAATGAATCGAAGCATCAGACTAAAAAAGCTTTTGAAAATAACCGAATATTTCGATTAAGGTCAAAATATAATATTTGTAAATCTGACTCAGTGCCTCACCAGCCATGAACCTCACCGCACGTCACTGCTGTGTACCTTTCCAATAATCCTCTGTCAATGTCCCCTCCTGAGAACAAGAATGCATGTTTCTCTGCTATTTTGAATAAGCGTTAAAAAACCTTTCTTCATGAGACTTATATTGTTGGACAGAGTATTTTAAGAGGATATGGTAGACATGATATCAGCAATACTTCTAGTCAGTACTCCGGCAGCAGCATTTTACACCTTGGAAAGTCTTTAGAGTCTGGCCTGGATAGCTGGTGTATCCTTCAGCACACTGACACACTCTGTCACTCTTGTTGGCCTCTTATGATGCTGCTGTCTTTTAATATATGATTATTTCTCAGCCGCTAGTTCGTTCCTGAAGAGACTGTCAAGTTTGGCTGTACTCAGCATTGAATCAAAACGCACTGGTAATCGCCGCATTCAGCTGTTATAGGCATGCCAACTTGATGCTCTGCTCACGGATGACTCGATGAGCATAGAAAACTGTTAAAATGATGACCTTACGTGTGTAAATATTTTTTTTTCTTTGAGGGGGTCTGCCCCCAAAAAACAGTTTTAAGTCCTGAGAAAGTCAAATAAGACGGTGTGTAAAACTACACTGCCCAGCCAAAAAAAAGTAACCACTTTGATTTAACTAGGCCAGTAGGTAAGGACTTTCCACTGGATAATAACTGCAGCGATGTATATGTTTTAGCTGAATACACGTTTTTTAACCCTAATTGATGCAGTTAGTCACTTCTTTAATGTTTGTTCTTTCTGATGTAAAGTCAAGGATGTAACTGTTTGCAATGAAGTTGTGGGGTGCTGAACTGTTCTTTTGATTCTTTAGAATTTTGATGAGGGTGAGCAAGCATCTTGAGGAACATTCATCATTAACTCCTCCAAAAAATATAGTTTATTTAATAATAACACTGAATATGTGAATCATAACACTGATTGGCAGCTGATAGGAATGATATGATTGTTAATATTATCATATTAATTCAGACAAACATCGATGAGACAGTTAATTAATGTACTTATTGCTGCAGTCTGCATAGATTTGGTACCCCTGCTGGTCTAAGAGTGAAACAAACTCATTCAGTTATTGTTCAGTTAAAATTCATTAAATTATGTGTGCCACCTTATATATCTCTATTTAAGGCTTTACTGATGTGCCACAATAATGTCACCTAATGTTATTGAGTTAAAATATTAATATTGTGGCTTTCCAAGTTATCATTGATCGATATAGTATAAGATGACTGCGATTAAATCAGCATATACTTCTGCCAGGGGATGCCACCCCTCAAAATCTCCTGCCACCCTCTTGCCACCCCATGAATATTTTTCTAGATCCGCCCCTGGTGATCAGTATAAGTGATCTTTATCTGGAGAACGAAAGAGAAAGTGACTTCACTTAGCAGTATAAAATGACACGCGTGCCATTGGATTTTTGCATTCCCAGAGAAGAGCAGAGGTGTTAACTCAGGACAAATTAACTTATAACTAAATATTGCATATAGAGTAGTTTAAAGACTGTGAGAATCAAGAACAGCCTTTCACCATGGTTATTCCATAAAGGTAGGAAACAATTTCTTTGTCTGTGATTGATGTTGTATTTTTCCTTTATTGATATGTAACATTGTTTTAAAGGCTTCCAATAGCCTTGTTGAACTTTCCTGCGTGGCTCCCAGACCGTAGTCGAGGAATACAGGGGATGACTGCCTTCAGTCTTCCAGGGCTAGGCAGCAGACTTCGGGGTTCAATAACCCACTCTCAGATAAGGCAGACCGGCAAGCTTTTCCTGGGGAGGCCGTTGTATTTGTGACACAAGTAACATGTTATGTAATTCATTCGCAACTTTGTTTTACAGCTAACTGTAACAAACCGTTCACTTCCAGAAACATGCTCGCTCACAATCGCTTGCTCTACCCATGCACACTCCACATGCACGCGCCGCACACTTTCCCCACCTCTCTCTCTTAAAGGTATAGGCGACCTTACTCTGCATGACCCTACTATTATAGCAGCCTCACTGACTCATGTTAAATCTGTCCTTTACGGCACTTGAGTGCTGACCATTTGGTTCTTTTTGTTTAATCTAAATTGTAGTGTAGCAGGCTGCAGAGTTCACAGAGCTGAGTTTTGTGTAATATAGTTGTTGGTGTAGAATCAACATTAGATTAGATGTTGTAACACAGTTCTTTTCCAACACTTTCAGTGAGAAGCTGTTTGAAGAATCTTGAGAGTGTGGGATGGCTGAGAGTGTTTCTGCAATGGATAACCCTGATGAGGTAAATAATTAAATTACAATACAATTGCAAGATAAATATTGTCATATAAGCTATTGTGAATATGGCATGATTCATTTATCGATTAGAATACAAAAATTAAACATATTGTTCTTAATTACCAAGGAACATCATGAAGAAACAGATTCCTTCCCTGACCCGTGCTGTGAGGAAGGAAAGAACAATCCAGCAGCACCAGAGTCCGAACGTAAGTGTGACTGTCAATAACTGATCTATTGTAACCAGGGCCGTCCCTGGCCAACTTGAGGCCCCACGCAAAGTTAGATGATGAGGCCCTCTGTTTCGCGAGCGTCGACGGGTGGGGGGGTGCTACTGGAGCCTCGCAGCGGCGAAACCGTGCCGCGCCACACTTATTGCGCCGCATAAACGCATAGGTGCGCCGCATTTGCGGCTCAGTTGAGGCTCCCTCCGGAAGATGAGGCCCCCTTCGCGAGGTGAGGTCCCACGCAGTCTGCATGATCTTCCTGTAGGGAGGGACGGCCCTGATTGTAACAAATATATACGAAGCGATATGTAAAGATACTGAGATGTACTTTTCTTCTCTTGTGACAGATGTTCCTCCACCAGGGGGAGTAACTGTTCTTAATTCTGACCAGGAGACAGTTTCTCTTGGTTTTCCACCAACTGAAAACTCTGCTGGGTTTAGACTACAGTTAGATTACTCCTGTGAAACAAACAGCAGCAGTTTGACTGTTAATGACTCCAGCCCTGTGAAAGTTAAGGCACTGATTAGTAGGACTGAGTGTACCTTCAGCATCATAAGGATTGCAGACAATGGAAATCAAAGCGAAGCAACATCGCTATCTGTATTCACGAGTTAATCTGAAAATCAAATCAATACCATCTGTTTCTGGATCTTTTGGATAATTATATGGGGCTGTTTGTGGCCTTTACTTGGGAGTCAAACAGCACTTTAAAATGCTGACAAACATTGATGGAACAATAATTTTTTAAGTTTTAGTGAAACCTTTGTTTTTCCCCACAGAGCCCAGCACTCCTGTGCAGAACAAAGTCGATCAGGTCAGCATGGAGTCAGAGTCTCTGCATTCAGACACACATAAGTCACATATAATCATTATTGTATGGTTTACTATAAAAACAAAAGAGGCAAAAAAAAAAAGATTAGCAAACTACAACATATTTTTTCTTACCGTTACATGATAACGTTACATAATTGAGCGGTTGAGAACTCTGTCACATCGGCCCATATATCTGAATCTCAATAAGCTGGTGCTGGGGAATTGTAGTCTTTTATTTTCCATAAATAGAGTTCTCTACTAGGTGACAATATTATTTTGACATTTTGCATCAAACAAAATACTGGCCTACATAGCGGCACTTATTGTAACAAAAAGGAGCCAGATATAAAAGGTTCAGCCTTTGAAATCTACATTCTAGTTGTGACAGAGGGTTGATCAGTTCTTTCTGCCTTATTTTGAGTCTGGCACCAGAGAGATAACTTTGCTCACTGGTCTTTCCAGCATGTTTGTTTCTGTCATACAAATAATCAGACAATTTCTTGCAAAAGTTTTAGATAAATTGGGACCTTTTGCAAGAAACAAAATCTGTCATAAAAAGAATCAGACCTCTTGATCTGGGTGGTGTCTCCAGAGGTTTTGCCATTAACCAGGATCCATGAGGTGCATTTGAGTTTATGATCAATACATGTATGTCCAGGTATATAGTTTCTTTGAATGCAATTCCATTCCGGTCTTTCTTGCAAAAGTCGTAGATTCATCTGGTCTAGAACTCCGTTATGCATTGCACTTGCTGCCAATGGTGTTTTGGCTGTGTATATTGCCGATGGATTTAACCTGGGGGCAGCATTGGTTTGACCTTGAGCTGAAGCAAGTGGTCGGGTGATAGAGGTTCAAAGTCATTTGGAACATTTGGCACTGTAGTTATGTGTGTCGGCTGTTGATAATTAGTTTACACGCACATAACTGTTGAAGGGCTTTCATCATCAAGCTGTCCATAACTCTGACATACATGTATGGTGGTAGCTCTGGCGTAAATCTGTCTTTTGGTAAATCTGACATGTTTTGCTCTTTTGTAGTTCTATGCATGCACCAGCACTTACTGTCGCAAAACTACTTTCTTTATAGTCATCAGTATCATGTCTAGGGATGGGTACCGAGCCCCGGTATTAAACGGGCCCCGGGGCTGAATTATTAAAGACCTTGGTACCGTTAACCTCCGACATTATCGGTATTTTTATCGGTACTGGAGACATCTAAAATATATGTCATATGTATTATGCTACACAAAGATTATATTGCAGTTTTAGTGTCGCCAACTCCGTTTCTAATACGCAAAAAGACTGCAAAATGTGTCTATGATTATTTGTAGTATTTCCAATCTTTCCAATCCAGACGAGAGATCTCTCTCCCCCCCGTCTGTGTGCGAGGGGGCGGGCAGTTTACACACACGCAGCTGCTACAAGCAGCAACACACACACACGGAGGAGATGGCGGAGAGAACGCGCTCCAAGTTGTGGTTAAACTTTACCCGTCTTGAGGTGGACAATGCTCGTTGCCAAAAGTGCAATAAGAGTTTAGCATGTAAGGGCGGTAACACGAGCAATTTGTCTAAACATTTAGCAAAAGTGCACCACATCCAGACGGAGAAATGCACCGTTTTCGACTGTCTTTCTAGTAGCTCTGCAGCCCCATCCACGAGTAACGTTTTCCACGTCAGGTATGATGTATGCTAGCAGCAACACACGGAGTTAACTCAATTATACAAACATGGGTTAATGATTAGAGTTATTTATTTTGTTAAAGTTTCAGCTATTCTGTTTACAGTTCGGTCATCAGATTATTTAATACGATTTGTTAAAACACTGTTGTTTCTTTTGATGTGAAATATTATTTATTTAATTTAAATAAAAAGCAATGTTCATTTTGTTCACAATTTGTTTAGTTAATTTACCTTATTTTTTCTCTCCAAAAGAACCGATAAGAGTACCGTAAAAAGACCGGACCGATAAGCGGTATCGATAAAAGTAGTAGTACCGTTAAAACCTTAACGATACCCATCCCTAATCATGTCTTTAGATGAAAACAACCAAAACTGGAAACATTTAATTTTTCATTTTGTTTGAATCTATGAATTTGCAGTTCTCCACTTTTCCCTGAGTTTAAAGGAAGGTATCAATATCTTCCATTGAGTTACAACATCCTTAAAGACAAATAGTTTAAGTGAGCAGTGCTTTTCTATCTTCACTGTTAATGGCTTTCCAATTTGACCTTTCTCCAAACAAGATGCTGCAAAAGAGTTCATGTCCATAGTTCTCTTCGAGCAATCTCTTGGCTTTCTAGTCCTTTTTAGAATTCATTTATTGAAACCTTCTCACCAAGTCTTTAGTTTGGCCAACATCTCAATAAATGGAAGGTACTCTAATTGATATTTTTTAAAGATGGGTATTTCTCTGGATGGATGTAATGTTAAGCGTTGCTCCTTTGGCAGCATTTCAGTCATTTTGATTTGGCGCTACATTACTTAAATCGAGTCACTCTTTCTTTGCTATTTGATTGTGACTTTTTCTGACTTGGCTGGAGTAATGCTGCGCTGCTGATGCTTTTGTCTACTATGTGGGCCTCCATTGCTTGAGATTGAACGCAAGTAAGGGCCCATGAAGACTTTTCTATTGTCTTGCTCTATGTTCTTCATTATGAACATCATCATTTTCATCTGGTTGACCAGTACAGTATCGCTCCACCACAACACATGTATTATCATCCTCCACCATACTCCAGCTTCCATGGTTGTTATTTGATCAGTTTGAAGCTCAAGCTTTTCCATTACCGCTCTGAGACTTGTTTTTATTGCTTCAAGGTTAGCTTCTTGTTTTTCAAGCGAATGTATCTGTTGTGAAGCAGCAGTGAGTTCTTAGAGCAACTTTCTCAGCAACAGCCTTTCTTCATGTTAATGAAGCTGTTATAGATATATTACTGCCAGTACAGCACATGTGACCCTTACTGCTAATCTGGCTCACACATTTTATGTATGCGTACTTATCAGAATCTAAATCTGAATTCCTTTATGAGTCCCACTGCGGGGAAATGTACAGTGTTACAGCAAAAGTGTCATAGCAGGTAACAAAGGCAACCAATAAATGGCAAACAAAGATTGTATTTTATATATATATATATACATATATATATTAAAGTATTGAGACCTTATAACAATTAAATGCTGGGACATTTATAAAAAAATATGCTTTTACATAAAAATGACTATTGCACAGCACAATTGCAAACAAGTGTATATGTTTTCCTTTTCAGGTCGGTTTTGCTTAAACCATGCATTATATATATCTGTTTGATATGATTGATCATGACAGACATGAAAGATAGTTTCTTTCAATGTTCACCTATCAATGCCAATGTCAAACACAGTGTATTGCATTTTTATAAACCTGCTGTAATTTGATGTGAATTACGTCTCAATCTCTTCTTTCAAATCCTTTCACTGACAATTCCATTGCAATCTGACAATTAGATTTCTATATCTTTTCATTTGATTCTAGTGTTGTTGAAGGATCTGGATCCATCTATTAGACAAGCTGTTTAATAATTGGCTTCCCATCATAGCTGTAGGTTAAGCAATGTGTACCTTATAAACTATAGGAAAATAACATTGTTATAATAAATGTTGATCCATGCTCATGAATGTTTAATAATCAATTAAGGCTTTCATATTTGTTGTTTTCATTTTCTACAGAGACGCACCTAGAGAGCCTTTTGGAGGATCTGGGGTTGGATCACCACGTTGAAGAAAAGTTATCCCTAATCACACTTCTTAGGATTGACAAGAAGACCATTACTGATGAACCTGCTAAGTGTAATTCAGATCTTCCATGATATTTTCTGAAGAAACTAATGATGGTCAATGTGACAGCTAGGAATGTGAAATGTACACCTGCACATGAGTCCAACTGTGAGGATCACACAGATGACCTTGATGATTTAGATGAAAGTACACATTCAGGTGACACACTGAATCCCCTTGATATTATCACAGCTCTCTTCCTGTGCTCTGATGGTTTTGTACAGCAGGAAATGGCCCTCAAAATGTCTATGTGTCAGTTTTCCGTGCCTCTGTTGCTTCCCAACTGTGACACAAAGCAGTGCACACTCATGCTTTGGGCCATGAGAGACATTGTTAAAAAGTACAGACCTCAGTCACTTTCAGAATCCAAGGGATTTATTGAAGAGAGAATTGTTGTCTCTGAACTTCCAATGATATCTTTTGTGAGACTGGGTGAGTGCTCCTTGTCCAAGTCAAAGATCCTCAATGAGCTTCTGAGCAATTCTCAGCAGTGCCATAACACCTTTGTTCACCACAACATGAAGGGTGGTGACAGTCCAAGGAGAATATCCAATGGATTGGTTGAAATGACTTGGTACCTCCCTTGTGGGAACAAAAACATGGATGTCTTCAGCGAGCCAGTTGCTGTAGCTAACCTTCGTGGGGACATTGCTTCATTTGAAACACAATTTGCTTTCTTGTGTCAGACATCTGCAGCAGTTTTTGTGTTCTTTGATGCTTTGGACTCTGAGTGTGAGCTGCTAACCAACCAAAACCACAAGGCCCAGATCTTCTTGGTGGGTAACCGTCAAAGCAAAGATTTCAAATTAGATGCTGTAAAAAAGGTAGCAACCAAATTGAGCTTAAAAAAGAGCAACATCCTTTTGAAAGAAAAGCACATAAATGATGCAAACTTTGTCAAAGATTTGCGGGAAAAAGTCAGCAATGTAATTGAAAACACAAAGGTGAAGATGGGAATTGAGAAGATGTCTGACGTTGCCCATGAACTGGGAATCTGTGTTGATGAAGACTCTCCAGAGTGCCAGACTGCGAAGAAAAATGCAGATGCCATCACTGCAGAAATTCAAGACATTCTTAAATACAAAGAAGCTCAGCTTCCCTTGCAAGGCCAGATATGGAAGGACCTTACTCGCTTAGAGAAGGAAGAATTGCGACTTAAGAATGTTGGGTCTGAAAATATAGAAAAGTACAAAAGTGATCTTCAGCTACAAAAAAAACGTCTTCGGGAAAAACAGAACTCTCAGGCCATGTCGACGGCAATGACATGTTTCATCAGTGCAATATCAAGCCTGGGGATAGAGAAGAAGGAGAAGGAGAAGAAGAAGAGGAAGAAGAAGGAGAAGAAGAAGGAGAAGGAGAAGAAGAAGAAGGAGGAGGAGAAGAAGAAGGAGGAGAAGAAGAAGAAGAAGATAGGGAGGTTCTATTTCCTGAAATGGATGCGAATGAACCTCGATAACGTGTCTCGGGAAAAACTGTTTGACCTCAGGGAGCAGTACAAAGAAAAACGCAAAAACTCTGAGAACAAAGAGGAGATCAAGAAAATAGACCAACAGCTCATTAGGGACTGAACACTTCTTCCGTGAAATGGGGCAGATCTATGAAGCTTCCCTTTCCCTTCCTGAAACAGACCCAGCACGTCAACAACTACAGCATCTCCCCAAGCTATGTGCAGAGTTAATGCTTGATGGATTTCCACTTGAGCTTGTAGATGGAGAAGCATCTAACATACCTCTCAGATGGGTGAGTGACGTTCTCTCTCAGCTCAATGCCTTGGTGTCTCCTAAGAACAAGATCCTGGTAGTCACAGTTCTTGGAGTTCAGAGCACAGGAAAGTCCACTCTCCTCAACACCATGTTTGGAGTGCAGTTTGCAGTCAGCAGTGGTCGATGTACTCGAGGTGCCTTTATGTTGCTGATTAAAATCAATGAAGATGTCAGAAAAGACTTCAACTGTGACTTCATGGTGATCATTGACACTGAGGGCTTAAAGTCACCAGAGCTCGCACAACTGGACAATAGCCACAAGCACGACAATGAGCTTGCAACACTTGTTGTGGGACTGAGTGATATCACCATCATCAATGTTTCAATGGAGAATTCAACAGAAATGAAGGACATCCTACAGATAGTTGTACACGCTTTCCTCAGGATGAAAGAGGTGGGCAAAAAGAAGCCCAAATGTCAGTTTGTTCACCAGAATGTGTCCGATGTTTCAGCCCATGACAAGAACCTGCGAGACAGGGAACTGCTCCTGCATCAGTTAAACGAGATGACCCAGGCAGCAGCCAAAATGGAAAAGAAAAAGGAGAACATGAGCTTCACTGATGTGATGGAGTACAGACCAGACACTGGAAACTGTTACATTCCTGGACTCTGGAATGGAAACCCACCGATGGCAGCAGTCAATGCAGGCTACAGCGAGGCTGTCTATGAGCTCAAGAAGAACATCATCCACATTTTGGGAAGTTGTGGATCATCAGCTAATAATATCTTGGAGTTTACAGAGTGGATGAAGAGCCTGTGGACGGCAGTAAAACATGAAAACTTCATCTTCAGTTTCAGAAACAGTCTCGTGGCTGATGCATACATGAGGCTGTGCACAGAATTCAACAGATGGGAATGGGACTTCAAAAAAGAAAGGTTCACATTGGTCACAAAAGCTGAAACAAGAATCTCCAATTTTGGTACAGCTGCTGATAAATCTAACAAATCTGACATGAGAGAACTTCTCTTGCTATTGAAAAGCGAAGCTTTGACAGAGCTGTCTAAATGGGAAACAAAGCTTCTGGAAAATCTGGACCAGTACTTCAAGCAAACAGAGGGTCATGTCTATCTTGTTGAAGGATACAGAGAGGAATTTAAAAACAGTGCTAAGAGCCTTCGACGAGAAATGGAAAGCTCTGTGTTTAATCAGCTCAAAGCTGCATCTGACATCAGACAGGGGATGACAAAACTTGATAAAATCAAGGAGAACCACACAAAGGAGTTAGAGGGCAGAGTTTGTGCATTGATTGACAAATGCAGAAAGGAAAAAGTCAAGATGACAGAGAAAGAGCTGAACAAAGAATTTGACAAGATGTGGACTGAAACAGTGAAGGAACTTTCCTTTAAAGAAATGAAGAAGCAGGACATTTTCACCAGTGTGTCTCACCGCCTGAGAACAAATCTATCAACCAAGGGAGGTCATGCAAGTGATTTGTTAAGTCAAAAAAGCCTGAAAGAATGTGGACTGGTGTCTTTTAAATATACAGTTGAAGGACTCTTGAATAAAGGTGTAGACAAAGTTAAACAGTGGTTTAAAATACCAGGTAATGCAAAGGCTGTACAACAAACAGCTGACAGCATCATTGCAGTTTGCTCACAGATGGTGAGTGAAAAAATGCAAAGAAAGAGCAATTACCATGATACCTACATCGATAAGATTCTAAACATGATTGATGAGAGGCTGCAAAACAATCATGATGTTGGAACAGACATCACTTTTGAAGTCTCTCTGAAACAGCACATCTGTGCAGACGCAGCCAAAAAGTTTCAGAAAATGCATGAAGATTTCCTCCATGAGAAAGATCCCTACATATGTCTGAAGGAAAACAAAGGAAAGTTTGATTTGAAAGACGTGTTCCATAATGTAGACCAGTGCCAGAAGAAGGCAGAAGAATTCACAGACCGATGCTTGAAGCCTGCAGTCGAAGATTTTGTCAACCATTCCCTGGGTCCTGATATCATTGGTGAAATGAGGACAAGTGAGCAGTTCAGCACAAGAATGTCCTTCCAGTATTCACTTTTACTGGATCTGCTCTCAGAGGATGACTTTAAAAGTATGAGAGCTTTATTTCCTCTTATGAGAAATATGTAAAGGAATGGATACTCAACAAAATAGAGGAACACTTCTCAAATGGGTCTACGATGTTTGAGGATCAACATCTCCAGTCATGTGTCAACAGCATAAATAATGCTATCCAGAAAGCTAAAACAGAAAAGAGTGGCAACTTAAAGTCATTTGTTGAAGTTGTCTGTCAGGAACTTGGTGACAAACTGGTCATTTCCCAGGATGCTCTCGGGGCCTTCATGACCCTGAACAAGGCCGACCAGGAGCAGTTTGCTCACTGGCTCACTAAGTGTGTGAAGGAGATGGCACAACCTCTTAGAGAGAAGTTTAAGAAAACAAACATCCAAACTAAACTACAGAGCCTTCATGTGAATCCTCAGAACGAGCTTTTCAACACACTGATTGGATGTGGTAAACAGTGTCCGTTCTGCAAAGCACCCTGTGAGGCAGGAGGAACCGCCCACACTGAGCACTTCACTTCACTTCATCGACCACAGGGTCTGGGTACATACAGACGGAGTAATACACAAAAACTTTGCATTGACATATGCTCTTCCTCTGTAAACAGTGACCGTTGTTTTCGCTGCAGTGCTACAAATGATCAATCACACCCTTACAAGCGTTACAGGGAAATCTATCCGGACTGGAAAATCCCACCAGATGCAAGCCTCGAGGCATCAGCCTACTGGAAATATGTACTGGCAAAGTTCAATGATGAGTTTGCAGCAGCATACAATGCAAACTCTGCTGATATTCCTGAAGCTTGGGAACTTATCACACCTGAGCAAGCAGAGGCAAGCCTCAAAGAGTCATTTCATATCTAATGAGAAACTACAAGCTTTGTGCTCACAGAGGGTCACGTCCTCCTCATTACAGTCATCATCCTCTCATAGACATTTAGATTACACTTGACACAAAGTAACATGCTGTTTATGAGATGGCAAGGTTGACCATATATTTCAACAACAACTTACAAGGAATTTGTAAACGTTTCAGTTTGATTAACATACTTTAAATGCTTATTTTTTTGGTTGTTATTGTAGTATCAATTAATCAAATTTGATTTTATTGAGTGTTTTTATTTCCTTGAAGTAATTGATGCACCAATATTTGCTTTTGTTTTTCTGTGGTTTTGTCGTAAACACATTAACAATTTTTATGTTTTAAAATATCATTCAGTCTTCATGTCAACATGAAGATTATACAATGTCTTTATTTTTATTTCAAATAAGTATCTGATTCTTATTATTTACATTTTTATTGACACATTTAGAATTGTTGTCTTTTCATTTCTGAGCTGCATCAAAAGCCACACATTTAGATTTTTAAATCAGTGAATGAATCAGTGTTTTAGTGGTGGTACAGTCAACATGTAAACATGACAGAAAGTCTGTTGTAATGTCAACATGTCGGTTATCCTTCAGGTTGTTTTTATTACCTAATCCAGTATGACATTTAATTGTCTATGTTCAAAATCTATAACCACTTTTTTTCTGTCATTTAAGAATCTGATATCACATATTTACATGTATTACTCACTTAAAGGATCATTCAATAAAAAAGTGCTATTGTCAACAAGTAACAGCATCATATATGATCTTTCTTTTACTCAGAATTTCTAATCTTTTGTTTCTGTGAAGTATCTGATTCTTTATATTTACGTAATAAAAAATACCATTCATTCTTTATACTGTTCATTTCTTTATAATGTTAGCATGTATACTTACTGTTTACTATTTAAATAAAGAGACCACATCTGCAGACTGGCTATGAATGTATTTGATGTTTCCCAGATCAGAATCACAGCATAGTGTATAATAACTTCTAAAGTAAACAGAAATATCATCACCTCATTTATTAGTGCGAATGCTGTTTACTTTAGAGAGGGTGATCAAGAGAAGAGAGAGAGGGCGATCAAGAGGAGAGAGAGAGGGCAATCAAGAGGAGAGAGAGAGGGCGATCAAGAGAAGAGAGATAGGGCGATCAAGAGAAGAGAGAGAGGGTGATAGAAGAGTGAGAGGGTGATCAGGAGAAGAGAGAGAGGGCGATCAAGAGAAGAGAGAGAGGGCGATCAAGAGGAGAGAGAGAGGGTGATCAAGAGAAGAGAGAGAGGGCGAGCAAGAGAAGAGAGAGAGGGCGATCAAGAGAAGAGAGAGGGTGATAGAAGAGTGAGAGGGTGATCAAGAGAAGAGAGAGAGGGCGATCAAGAGAAGAGAGAGATGGCGATCAAGAGGAGAGAGAGGGCGATCAAGAGAAGAGAGAAAGGGTGATAGAAGAGTGAGAGGGTGATCAAGAGAAGAGAGAGAGGGCGATTAAGAGAAGAGAGAGAGAGGGCGATCAAGAGGAGAGAGAGAGGGCAATCAAGAGGAGAGAGAGAGGGCGATCAAGAGAAGAGAGAGAGGGCGAGCAAGAGAAGAGAGAGAGAAGAGAGAGAGGGCGATCAAGAGAAGAGAGAGAGGGCGATCAAGAGAAGAGAGAGAGGGCGATCAAGAGAAGAGAGAGGGCGATCAAGAGAAGAGAGAGAGGGCGAGCAAGAGAAGAGAGAGAGAAGAGAGAGAGGGCGATCAAGAGAAGAGAGAGAGAAGAGAGAGAGGGCGATAGAAGATTGAGAGGGTGATCAAGAGAAGAGAGAGGGCGATCAAGAGAAGAGAGAGAGTAATGTAACCTCCTAATGTAATGTATAACTCCTATGAACATTTTCAAAAGGTGCTCAAACTTCACATGTGTGCTAACAGTCCAGCCGTGAAGACATCGTTTTGAGATTTCTTCAAATGCCGTTGCCATGGCAACACAATGCTCACCATGAAACACGGTTTTCTCATAACTTCAGTGAAAATGCTCGAAATGGCCCAAAACTTCACAGGTTCGGTAACGATGCAGCCATCAACACATCTAAGCGTATTATGGGGTGTCATCAAATGCCGTTGCCATGGCGACAGATCATTCACCATCAAGTTAGTTCAAAAGTTTGCAGTTCAAATATTCTGCTGCTTTCCCAAGCCTTTTTACTTTCTTTTCTCATCTTAATAAAAAATTAATTCACTACTACTTACATCTGATATTTAACTCCTTCAGCCTATTTTCAGCTGTAGAAACCATTCAACTATTACATTATTCAGCTAGGGTCTTAAAAATCTTCGCAAAAAATATTTTAAAACTGCTCTCAGAGCCAAAATATACAATCTATTCAAATAATTTCAAAAGATTTCAGGAGCATTATTAGTCTGGCCTGCTCAATTGCCTTCATCATACCAAACGGACACACCGTTCTGGCCCAATAGTGATCAGAGTGACAAAAAGTCCACTTAGCTCCCAATAGACTCCCATGTTAAATTTGACCGGAACTTTCTTCAGAACAGAGAGAAGTCAACTTTAGACAAACTGCTGACACACAAAACCCCCAAAAAAACCATATATCAGTTCATTGGGGTTCCCTGATGCTCAAGGTCTGGTAATTTATTTGTAGGAGCCATAGTTTTTGAACAGGTGGCAAAATTGTTAGATATACTTCTCAATGCATTCTTATGGGACTCAGTGTTGCAGTTGGTTGTCATGGTGTTGCTGGGCAGATTGGAGCCACACACACACCTGAGTGACATCATCTAATCAGAACAAACACCATGGAAACCTTTGATCTCTGGACACACACACAGGTGTTATGATTGGGTGTTATGAGTAGGTGCTCAGGAACAGAAACAAACACTGACAGACTGTCTCAGCCTATTATTTTCTGTCTGATGGAGACTTCATACTGACTTCAACAGGTTCCACATATTTTATACATTATTGGTGACATATGGTTTTAGTCGAAAAGTTTGCAGTCAAAAATATTCTGCTGCTTTCCCAAGCCTTTTTACTTTCTTTTCTCTTCTTAATACAAATTCATTTACTACTACTTACATCTGATATTTAACTCCTTCAGCCTATTTTCAGCTGCAGAAACCATTCAACTATTACATTATTCAGCTATTTCAGGACATCAAGGCTATACATGTTGTTGTTTATACCTTTTTTTAAACCTTTTCTTTTAAATATTAAGCTTTTTCTGCATTTTTGTAGCTAAAAGCAGCTACCATTCAGCTAATAACATATTCAGCTTTTTCTGCATTTTCAGCTAAATTCAGCCACAAATGTTCACAGTTTACAGCATTCGCACGCATTTTCTGCAGGAAATGCATTTTCTAGTTGGACCTGACAATTAAAGATAATTGTTAATTTACTGTTAGCATTGTCATTTTTTTTAAGTAAATAATTTAATTTAAAACACAACCGTAGCCTCAAGACATGCAAAGTGAATTAAGAAGGGCAACTATCTGCAATTGACAACAACTTAATATGTTTAACTACAGTTGTCCCAATTGAAGCTCCCGTCAGTGTACTGACTGATTCTGCAGTCCATTGCTGCTGTCATCATCAAACATCTCCACACACAGACAACACAATCATATCTGTTTACTGATTTATCAGGAAAACTCACAAGGTTTATCCCAATATCCATCCTCAACTTGACCCGGAAATCAATCGTTGAAGGACGTCATGATTCCTTAAATGCGTGCAGAGGAGTCGAGGAGGGAGGAGGCTTCCAGAGGAGAGGGGCGCGAGGAAACACGAGTGCTGGCTATGCGGAAGTGTTATTGCTACATGCGCATCAAAGCTCCGCCCACAGATCCAGAGCCGTGTGCATACTGCGGCTGTTCTGTCTGTTGAAGAATGATCTAAGTCAGCGGTTTTCAAAGTGTGAGGCGCGCCTCCCCTGGGGGGCGCCAGAGAGCTTCAGGGGAGGCGCAGCGTGAGAAAAAAATAAAGAGAAACAGTGAAATCTAGCTCGTTAACTTCAGCTAACTTTATGCGAGCGGCAACATGGATCGATTTTTAGTGAAGTTACCTAAAGTGAGAGAGGAGACAGCGTCTGGCCACCCCAGTTGGCAGCTTTGTTTTGAAATAAAAGTTGTGGCTCATCGGACATTTATCAGAGAAAATCCCGATGTCCGAGTGCAAGTGAATGCAGCACAAGACGCGAGCCTTGTAACCCTGGCGCGAGCGAGGAAATGTGATTGGCGGCGATTTCAATTGAACGGGCGGCAGAAAACGAGAAGCATTCGGACCCAAGTACACGGAAGGAATAAGGTATTTGCGGTCTACAATGACAGAGAAGAGACTGTCAAGTTTGGCTGTACTCAGCATTGAATCAAAACGCACTAAAACTTTGGATGTTAATATGTTTGTGAGGCGTTTTGCTGAACAAGATGGTAATCGCCGCATTCAGCTGTAATAGGCATGCCAACTTGATGCTCTGCTCACGGATGACTCGAGCATAAAAAACTGTTAAGATGATGACCTTACGTGTGTACATATATTTTTTTCTTTGTGTGGGTCTGCCCTGAGAAAGTCAAATAAGATGGTGTGTAAAACTACACTGCCCAGACAAAAATAAGTAACCACTTTGATTTAACTAGGCCAGTAGGTAAGGGCATTCCACTGGATAATAATACCCCTGCATTATAGCAACAACAATAATAATAATAATAATAATAATAATAATAATAATAATAGCAATAATAATTGGGAGGGGGGGCGCGGCTGTTCTTATGTTCTCTGAGGGGAGGCTCACCTTCCCACACTTTGAAAACCCCTGATCTAAGTCTTCAAATGTTACATTTGCTTGATTTTTTGTAAAACAGATATATCTTTGATTAAGGAGGAGATCATTCTCTACCACACATTAAAGTGTTTGAAATAAACTTACACATTCAATAATAATGGTTTGATAATAATTATTGTCAGTATTAATGAATTATTTACAGTTCCTAATAGTGGTTTATTTGCATGCGTGGATAAAGGACACTGAATTTAAAACAATTCATTGGTAAATAAAAGTATTATTATTATGATTATTATTATTGTGTTATTTCTATTTTATTTAAATTAATACATTTGTGTCTGAGTTATTAGTTTAGTTTTTGTGTTTTTATTTGTTGTCTTAATAAATGAAAAAATAATTTAAAAGCTGGTTTGTTTAATGTTGTCAAAAGAGTGAGTTTGGCTGGCCAGTATTGGCATATCCAGCCATGCAGTGGGGTGGTTTGTGAACTACCTCTCTGAAAGGTCCCAAGAGGCACGTTCACACCAACACACTCCCTAAGCGTCCAGGAGCGACGCTTGGTCAGGGTCCCGTGGCGTCCAGTTGTGACGCGCCGAGGCTCCTTCAGCTTCATAAACGGACACAAAGAGCTATCAACTGATTGCAATATATTCCCATCGGCGGCGGTATTTGACGCTTAGGGAAGCACGGCATTCGTTTGTGTCGGAGGCTGTTAAAGGCAATGTGAGCGTCCATTCCCATTGGATAACGGAGAATTGTACACCCGGAAGTAAGTATTCCCCTTACTGTCGATTGATTTGACAGTGATATCTCCACTACTCATCAACTCAAAAACACCAGATTATCCTTGTTAATTAAACGACATTGATAGGTTTTAGTGTGTGTACAATGCTTTTGTCACGTTTTCCCCTTAAATTCTGAGAAACAAGTCGTTTTCTATGAGTTTTGGATGGCCGAAGAAAAAATTAAATAATACATTATTCCGAGTGTGCTTGCTTTTCTCTTTGAAAGTCATCACATAACGGCATTGTAATACACGTTTCGGCTGTATTAAATATGACATATCTGCCGTAGTTAACTCTATTT